AGGATGGTTACTATGAAGCCAAAAAAAAAAAAAAGACAGGGTTGGTGAGGGAGAATGCAAAACAGTGCAGCTGCTATGGAAGAGGAGTTCCTTAAAAAATTAAAATAACTACTATATGATTCTATAATATAGGTATTTATTCAAAAGAAGTAAAATTAAGTTTTGAAAAAATACTAGCATTACTATTATATTGTTCAGCTTTTTGTCACTGTGACCGAAGTCCTGTCATAAAAACTTAAAGGCACATCCCACTGACCCACTTCCAACTGGGCCCCTCATCTTCACAGCATATTCAGCTATAAACATTAGTGGATTAATCTACCAATGAGTATAATATCTCTATGACCCAATCATCTGTCCAGGAATCTCTTATTCTGGTTAAATTGACAATTAATATTAACTGGCATATGTTCACTGTGGCAATATTCCCAGTGGTCAACATGTAGAAGTAAACTAAATGTCCACTAATGAATAAATTTTAAAAAGTTGACATATACTTGTACTTATAGTAGAATATTATTTAGCCTTAACATTTTTGTAATATGTAACAGTATGAGTGAACTATGAAGGCATTATGCTAGTGAAACAGGTCAGTCACAGGATAATCACATGATTTCATCTACACGCTGTATCTAAGATAGTCAATCTCAGCTGAGTATGGTGACATACACTTGCAATGTCAGCACTCAGGAGGCTGGGGCAGGAATATCATTGTGAGTTCAAAGCCAGCCTGGACTACACAGTGAGAGACTGTCTCCAAAAAATGTCAATTTACAAGATTAGAGAATGAGATAGTGGTTGACAGGAACACAGGTAGAAAGAAATGTCTCTCCATATTGCTATCAATGATCATAAAGCTTTAGTTGTGCTAGGGGAATAAATTCTAGAGATTTGCTGTATACTGTGTCTATAGTTAACACTACTGTATTTTACACCCAAAATTTGTTAAGGGGCCGAGGGTATAACTTAGTGGTAAACTAATGTGTGCAGGTCACTGGGTTGAATATCTAGCACCAAAAAATGGAAACAAAAAATTATTAAGAAGGCAGATTTCATATCAAATGTTTCTATAAAATAAGGTTGAGGACAAATGGTAAACAATAAATGTAAAATAATATTAATGAAGTAGAATGCCTAGGTATAATTTGTATGTAAGATGAATTATCTTCCACAGAAAATAGAAAAATTAAGCATTGGTCATAAGCAAATAAACAAAAAAGAAATTTCTGACAATGCAATTTATTATTTAGTTGATATTGAGTGTAAAAATGTAGCAGTTTAGAATTATTTTTAAAAATGACATTATTAATGTGTACTTATTAAAAGATATTCCAAAAAACCAACTTGTGACTATTTTAAAAAAAGAGAAAAGAAGACTGCTTATTCTTTCTTTCATTTTTCTGGCTATTTCACATCTGAATTTGGAAAAATTAAAAATCATCCTATTTTCTATAAATACAGCTAACTATATTTAATTTCTATAACAAAATATTAAGAATCAGTTATATTAATTTTTCTTAAAACTTGAATATTCTCAAAGACAGACAAAATTTCAAAATTTCACAGTAATCACCACAATGTCAGAAGTCTATTGATCAAATTGGGTGTTTGGCTATTCTATCATCTTTTTATCTGTCTTCAAAGGAAGAATCAAGCATTTACAAAGCTTATAATGACCTAATTAGGCCTATAGAGCCAAAACAAAATAGTAGAGCAGAAAGAAAGGCACAGTGAGAAGGGCTTAATTTTCAGTTAAACTCATATACCACTTACAAAAAAATCATTACTAAGGTATTTATATAAATCCCTCCCAATATGGACTTACATGTCCCCAGACTTACCTTTTCTCATTCCAGATACAGCACAACAGTGACACTACCAAGTCTCCAAGTTCCCGGACACATTTTGAATCTATCAGGAATACCCTAGCCTACTTCCTTATTTTAAAATTGTACTATTTTCTCATTATTCCAATCAAAATGATTAGTCTCTGTGACCCTATGCACACACCTGAAGTATAAATTATATCCATTCATTCATTAATTTATCTATTTGACACTATATACTGACAGCTTAATATGTGCTAAGCACTGTTCTAAGGCTGGAGCTTTCAATGGTAAATAAAATTGACATAGAACTTAATGCTAATACCTTGTATAGACTAAGTTATATTTTACTGAGTTGTTTACATGCCTATTCTTACATCAATTTGTAAATTTCTTAAAGCCAAGGCCCATACTCAAGAAAAAAAACTGCCTATGTTGAGCACTTAATCATATTATCTTATTTCATACATAAAAGTATTTGAACTGTAATGTTTTGAACAAAATTCTACTAAATATAGGTACTACTACAAGTAGTAAATAATGATTCTATTGCACTGAATTAGAACTGGGACAATGCCTTCATGAACAAGAACTGTTCAGACAAGGAAACTAATACAAAACAGTACACAACAAAACTATGAAGTTCTTTAGTAGCTTAAACACAGATTTAGATTTATTTTTCACAGTGGCACTTCACAAGCTGATAACCTATACTTAACTTTCCTAGATCTAGATGTATCTTCCATGTAACCCAGTCTGATGTTATCATTCAGGATCCAATCAGAGAAACAGGACTACTAGGAAGTACTGGGGTATGTGTGTGTATGAATTTGTTACAGGAATTTGACCTTACACAATCAATTGTGAGTATGGCTAAAGAGCCCTTGCATCTGATGATATAGTTAGAAGTCCACAAGACAGGCAGTTGAGAAGGCAGAATTAATGCAAAATGAAGGAGAGGAAGGCCAAGTTGACACCAAAAGCACCAGCTGGAACCCCAAACAATGAATTCACATCAGTCTCACCGTCTAACCTGGGTGAGATGTGTATGCCGTAGGAGATGCTGGTGCCTTTCATTATGGAGGTAAATACAGACCTGGCTCAGGGGTAAGAAGCTGAAGCAAAGTGAGCCAATAAATAAGTACCAACATGAAAGACGTAAAAAGCACCTGCTCTAATACTTCTATCTTCCAAATCTCACATTAAACCGATTTTTGTGGTCACTCTAACTGGAAATATGCACAGATGAAAAATTCTAGGAAGTGTAGTTCAACCCAGCCAGGCTAACATGTTACGAAGCTAATAGTTGACCTCTTGTCAACTTGGCACCCATACATATATCTATAAAATCATATGTAAGTAAAAAATAGAGATAATAACAGTTATGTTTGCCTAAAATGATACAACTAACTCCTATTCAACAAACATACTAACTTTTTCCTAAAAGAAAAGCTACAGTTATTTTTTGTCTTTGCGTGATATTCATTCCTCCTCAAACTGATTCAGTTTTCCCTGATTTTAAAGAGATTCAAAATTAATGATTATAATTAATATGTCTTATATTGGATAGTAGAGGAATGAGAAATTAGGGAAAAACAAATATTTAGTTAATATATAGATGAATATTTTCCTGTAAAAATGTATATGAATACTATATATTTATATCATAATTTCTACAGTGCTCTTTTTTGTAACTGGTACATTTTCATAGCTGCTCTTTATAACTACTTTCTTCCACTACCCATTCCATATTCCCTTTGCCTTCAGCAAGTATTTCTGTCGTTTCTAGTTCCTTATTTGGTAGAGTGGCCCAAATTTTCATTATCTGCACTACCTAAATTAGATTTGTTGTAGTTTTTTTTTTTATTATTGATTTTATTCAGAGAACCTGGGAGTAATGCAGTCCAGATGTGGTTTTCCTCCTGCACACTGTATAGTAACAATCCAATATCACCTTAATATTCAGGCTCAACCTATCAGTGTTTCTCCTCTCTTTCGTATGGCCTTTCCTGAATGTCAGGAGGTACATTTGCAATTTCTCTCAAATAACCCAGATTGGCCAGAGGAAGGCAGTCTCAAACTTTCAGTTCAGTGGAATCATTATTGGGTCCCTCTTTGGAGGTTCCTCTCTTTGGAACTAAGACCTCTAGATCAGCAGAGCCCAAAGTTAAAAGTACAGGAAGCAAAAATTTTGCTAATAGAATACTAGAAATAATTTCACATGGAAACATTCCCATTTCTACCTTGATTTCTGCACTCCTAAGTTGTGGCTATGGGGGAAATATTGCTTTAAATCACAAGTAGATTTAGACCACATCTTATATCCACTGTTTCAGTACCACAGGAATTGCCACCTAGCTGGTACTGTTATTGGGTTTTCAAAAGGCCACCTCTCCATTCTATTAAGCCAGCTGCTTCAAGACAATGAGAAATCTGATAAGTCCAGTGAATTCTATGAGCTTGGGCCCACTGCCATAATTTATTTGCTATGAAATGAGTTCCTTAGTCATTGTGATGCTATGATGAATAATATATTCTGTAAATCATGAACTGCAGTTTCAGCAGAAACATTATGAGTAGAGAGGAAAATCGCAATCCAGAGCAAATGCTGTTCCAGTGAGAACGTAGTATTGCCTTTTCTTGATAGAAGTTGTCTGGTGTAATTAGCCTGGCACTAGGTAGGTGGCTGAACCTCTTGAAGAATGGTGCCACTGAGAAGTTTCAGTTTTATGTCCAGATTCACTTTGGTAAGTCCACATTGCTAAGCCAATGCACAACCACGATCTCTGGACAACCAACATATACCTCCTAGCAGTTCTAACTCTCTGCCTGAACCCTGACTGACTTAGTACTAAGAGTGGTTTCAGAGAAACATAAATTTAAGTCTAGGCTCTTGGAATTGGTTCTGGGTTATCTGGAATTCGTTTTCTCATCTTTGTTTTATAATAACATACCATATAT